GCTCCTCCTCCCCACCCCCCAATTCCCTCAACCCCCTCTCTGCATCCTCCCTCAACGCATCAATCACCCTCCTCGCCTGCTCCCAAACCTGCTCCACCCCAAACCCCTCAACATGCACCCTCCGAATCTTCAACGTCCCCTCATCCCTCTCATTCCCACCCCTCTTCCTCTTCCTCCTCTCCTTTCTCAATCGCTGACTATGCTCCTCTCCAAGACGCCCCGCAAACCCATCCAGCGTGCCCTTCACGTAGCCCAAAGCGCTCTGTCGCAGCTCCGCGGGGGGTGCGATGAACGCATGTCGATTGTCGGGCTTCAGCGCGCTTAGAAAGTCCACGGATGTGGAGTTGGAAGTGGACATCGTCGTCGTAGGTGGCAAGGCGGTTAATGTGTGTGAGGTCGATGTCATGGAGGAGCTTGTGCTGGCCATGATCTTGTGCCCTTGAGCTTGTGAGATTGATTGTCGCGATGAAAAATAAAAAGCTTAGGATTTTCCTGGGCCGATAAGGCTGGCTTATCGGTCGCATCACGTGGACAACTATGATTTTGGTATCGGAACTACAGTAGTGGCAAGAATAGTGAAAGAAAATAGAAGAATGGGAAACCATAGTTTATAATGATTGAATTATTATAGTCATTGATTCTACAAAACGGTTGACAAACAGCAAGTAAAAACAATCGTAGTAATCAAAATCGCAAGTATGGGAAGCAAAGCTCTTCATCGAGGCAATGGTAGTACACTAAATAGCTTCCGTTATCCCATAGGATTTTGAAGTGCATCCTCTGAACATTTGAATACGTCAAAACTGGTTGTATCACAGAGTACTGAGAAGAAATCTTCAAGTTGTTCAATATCTTGGTGAAAATAGCTTCAAATCTTGATTATTACATCCTTTGTTTACTGCATCTTTCGAGATGCGCGCTAGAAGACGAGGCATTGATTACCTGGTTCTAGCTATTTCATGCCAGTAGATAGCGAATTAAGAGCCAGGAATCAGATTCAAGGTCGTCTCCCTATTTCCCTCAAAAGGAAACGAGCAGCCAACATCGACGCACCTACAATAAAAAGCCGGACCTTCGGATTTATTTCAGTCTGGTCAGACATGGCTGGCGATTTTAATACCAATGTATTGTTATCTTTCGCAAAAGCGAACGCCTATGCAGTCTGAATATATGCAGTCTGAACTTTGTACAAATAAAAAGACACCCCCATAACCCATGTTCCCCCCGATGCAATTCCCCTTTCTCTCCCACTACTTTCTGTACCACATTCTGGTAATCTTAGTAAGTCTCATCTGCGGATAGTTAGCCTCAAACTCCACAAGTCCAAATCTTATCAGATTGGACAACCTTGAATGGGGACTTCTGCCCCAAAGGTGGTTAAAAGAGCTTCAAACATACCTTCTTCTGCAACTGGAAAATTCCATACATCAGTGCCTCAGAAGTAGGAGGACACCCAGGAACATAGATATCCACCGGAACAATACGATCACACCCTCTCGTAACACTATAACTATAATGATAGTATCCCCCACCATTCGCACAACTGCCCATCGAAATAACCCATCTCGGCTCCGGCATCTGATCGTAAACCTGTCTAAGAGCAGGCGCCATCTTGTTCGTCAAGGTCCCCGCAACAATCATGACATCGGACTGACGAGGGGACGCTCTGAAAATTATACCAAGTCGATCCTGGTCGTATCGTGGAGTGGAGAGATGCATCATTTCGATGGCGCAGCAGGCGAGTCCGAAAGTCATAGGCCACAGCGATCCTTGACGTGCCCAATTGGTGATTTGATCGAGGGTTGTTCTGTCGAAGTCGTGTTAGCTTGGTATCTCGATACATTTGCCACCCTTTCCACAAGTCCCAATTGAACCCCGAACCACCCCAACTTCCCATAGCATACTGAAAATGATGTGGAAAACATACAAGGCGTATTCAGTAAAGCCCTTCTTTCCCTCCTGGCTGGGCAATGGCACCTCGCGCTTTTCCTTCCCCGTAACGCTCACGGGTCGTGGCGTATTCACATCATACTGCGATATAGCAGCCGCAGGCTTCGACGAAGGGGACGAAATTGCCGCGATTGACCGGTATGGAATTAAGCACGAAGATGGTTTGGCTGTTGGGTGAGAGTTAGCATGATGTGTGGCAAGAGGGGTGTTGAAGGGGAGCTCCCCAGGGAACTTACCTCGCAGAGCCAACGAAGTGGCAGATCTCGCAGAGGACAGCATTTTGTGACCCTATTGAGATTGCAAGGAATTTGAAAAGGAAAGGTGGTGGCGGTAGAGCGGAGTGGTTACTCGTATTGTCGCAAAAAGTTCAAATAGACCCAAGACGCCTGGTCATCGATTTGATTTGAGCGACACTTGATTGGACAGTGTATGCCTGAGACATCAGGCACCACTTCGCCTTGTTTGGAAGAGCGGGGGGCTATTAACTCTAATTATGTTCCAAATTCGACTTATAAACATACAATTATCCTATTTTCTCACATCAGATATCAAGCCAACATGCAGGATGTTTCATTATAGCTCTTAACGCAACGTAATTTATTCTACTACCATTCTCTTCATTAGCCCCCAGAACTCCCACGTGTACCAGACGTCTTTGAAGTCTATCATTAATACAAAAACGCATCTCTACCAAAATTAAAGTTTTGTACTGGGAAAGAGAAGAAGAGTAGAGTCGTAGGAACCTCGTCAAACGAAGCAATTTTCTCGTATACAAACCATCATGAAATCATGACTCCCACTAAGCACCAGATGCCTTTGAGTTTTCATCCATCAAGACATCAATTTGAGCATCAACCTTTCGCTCCTCTGCATCGTCGGAGTCTTTACTCTGACGTCCTCGCCTAGGCGACCTCTCATCACTATCCTCTTCGCTACTGTCACTTCCATGAGGGCTTTCCCTATTTGATTGGCGGCTTCTCGTCATCTGAAATTGATGTTAGCCACATGATTGCATTTAAAAGATGGAACCTAGCTTACCCATGATCTGACGCCTCCAATCAATCCCAAACTATATCCGGTAGCAAAGTCACTTCCAGGACCACCGGGACTATCCGCTCTAGGTATTTCAAGACGGCGACTAAGATGCGATAGCGCCGATGGGCTTGTGAGAGATCCCGATGACTTATTTGTATCGTCGTAACTTGAAAGTCTGGCGGGGCTACCAGGTCGGCTGGCTTGCCAGAATTGTCTAATTTCCTTGCCCAATTCTTGTCCAGTAGTACTCCAGTTATTGCGAATGGCATCTCTCATTTCTGCAACATGACGCTTCAAGTCCAACTCATTCTTTTTGAGCCATGATACGTTAAGTTCCTGACGAGAAGTTCCGCGCTTGAATTGACGGCTGATGTATTTTTCGTAGTCGCGAACGATCCTAATAATCATTAACATGGTTTCTGAACGCAAAACTTTCTAGGCTTACTTTGTGATAATTCCGGTTGTGCTGACACCTTCTGTTCTCTGAGTGACAAGGAACATTCCTGCCTCCTTGATGGGCTTATAGATATCATCACCCTCGTCAGCACCGTATGGAAGGTCGTCGTGGGCGACATAATCAATCTTGTTGTCAGTAAGAAAGCCTGGTGTGACAATCCAAGGACAATCTTCAATCACTTCGTCGACCCACTTGCAATGTCTAACGGTCTCTGCACGTTCCTGACCACTCAGAACAGTGAGTCCTTTACGCTTGTGGGTTTCTGCGTCTCCGGTTACACCAACGATCAGGTAAGTTTCGGGAAATGCTTTTTTAGCTTGCTCCAGCTGCCGCATGTGCCTGAGATGTAACGATTAGCAAAAAGTTGGTGTTTCAGGCAAACCGTAGAGATAGACATACCCTAGATGAAATAAGTCGAAAACACCATCTGCGTATACGCGGACGGCTCTTCCAGTGGGTGGAGGATTGGTCTTGTATCCAACGGGGTCAGTCAACGCTCCAATTGGAGGTGGTGCCATTGATTCCGCATCTTTGGAAAAGCTCTTTCGTCCTTTGCGCGCAACTCTGTTGGCAATATCTGTGCTGGCCTCAGTTGTATCAGATGGCTCTCCTGGATCAGATCCATTGGTGTTGATCTTTTCGTGCGTCGATGAGCGGAGTCTTTTGGCAGGAGGATTGTTCGTCGCGTCCACCAATGGGCCCTTTCTTGAATTCAGGTTGGCAGAGTCGGGCCCTGTAAACTCGCCCTCTTCGCCAGAAGCATCTCGAGATGAAGGCTGTAACTGGTCCATCACAGATGCCTTCTTGGTGGAAGAGGCAGTGGAGGTTCTTTTTCGTTTTCCCGCTCCTGAACCGGAACCTGGGGAAGAGGGGGAAGACATTCCAGTGTGGTGTGGTGTTGGGCTTTCTTTGATAAGAAAACTGATTATGGGATAGGTTGTAGGTATGTCGTTGACGAATTCCAGACGCGCTCAAAAGATAGGACGGGAAATGGTGTTGTTGGCAGTAGTTCCCGGTCGCGAACCTGGAAGGACGTGGTAGAACAAAAGAGGACAGCTTCCGGCACCTCCTCTCCTGAACAATTTTTGGCTGGGGCCGGGGTTGACAGGGGTGGAAGCGGTAGATTGGTGCAATGCAGATCCTCCTTGGAATATCAGAGTGGAGAATCAGCGGAGGAAGTTGCCCGCTCGCAAGGCGAAGGTTACAAGGTAAATTTAGAAAGAGTTGATGGGAATTCCTTTTCTGGGATTGATTGATTGACTTTGAGAAGTTCTGAAGATGCAAGTGCAAGTGAAGTGTTTTTGAGGATGAGGTAGGAGCGAGCGGGGTTTGTCACAACTAGCTTATCTATGGCAGGTGTTGGCACTGGAGCTGGGCTGGCCGCTGAGGTGGTTGTCAAATGTTGATTCAGGAAACCTGCCAATGCGGCTTGACGGAATGTGGCTGTGGGTATGGTGCGAAAGGCGAATTAATCGTCATACTTCCAGACAGGTAAGACACCGGACCCCGGCCTCCTGTCCGAGTCGCCTCCAGATAGAAAGATGAAAACACAGCAGTGAATATTGATAGCTCTATTGCCGGTATTTCCTTTCTCTCCTTCAAATCAATATATCTAAACATTTAATAAGAAAGTCTTCAAAAACCCGGCGACTTGAACGAATACCATAGATAACAATAAAGAAAATGTGTCGAAGCCGCCTAAGATGACGTTGGAATTAGTCAAGCATGTGCACTATCCAGCAGCAACGACATTATTCACTCGAAAGTCAGTAAGTATACGGAGTATATCATACAACTTACCATATAACCTTATCACAACTTCCCAACCCCTCCAGAAACCTCTCACTCGCTTACGTCTTCCAAAGCCAAGTCACTAAATTCTCTCTCAGCATTCACACAAAATAGGCTGTATTTAAGAAGAACGCTTGGAAATTTCAGGTATCAATTGGCCATTCTCTCGGTACAATGCAGCAACCCAATCCCTCTATGGACCCATTCCTGGAGATCTCTGATGCAAAAGAGAAGAAAGTAGTAGAAGTGGAAGTAGAAAAAGAAACGACTCGAAAGACAAAAAAAGGCTCGCTGCATAAAAGTTCATGATTCGGAAAGAAAGAAAGAAACCAGAGGACCACAGAAGACATAATCAGCCGCACGCTTGCCCGATTACCCACGAGCTATCCATCCATACGTTATCTGCCCAACAAGTCATGAAGCGGCCGGCATTTCCCATGATACCTTGTCCTATGTGTATTTAATCCGAAGCCGTATAGAAAAGCAAAATCCTCATAACCTGTCTCGTAATTTTGTTGTTTACGCAGCAGAAACGTTCACAATTCTATTCCAGTCTTCAGCACACCCTAGTATTCCTCTAAGGATAATAGAAATGGCATTGTGCGACCAAATACTGAACTAAGAGGCGTTCTCAACATGCTTTACAACTTTTCCGTTACTTGGGTATCGTATTTTCGACTTTCTTCTCCGACGTATCTATCGAGTTTGTAAGAAAAGAGTTTGCAGTAGGCTTGGTCTTAGGAGTTGTACTGCTCGTCTTTTCCTCGTTGGAGGCTGGCCGCTGACCTTTGTTTACTTGACTTGCCAAATCTTTATCTTCTTCCTGGTTGTCGAACATCTCCGTGTCATCCGAGTCGGTCAAGACTTCGGTACCATCTCCTAGCAAGATAATACGACCTCTTTGATTGCCGCTTGTAGCTTTGTTCTTTTGGTCCATGTCGACATCATAGCCGCTATCACTGTCATCGAAATTATGGTGTACACCAGGACCTCGGAACTCAGCTATTTGGATTATCAGTGCTATACTCAAAGGCTAGAAATACCATGCTACTTGCCATATTCTGGAGGTGCACATGGCCCGTCTCCATTGGCAACGCGCTTCGCAATCTCGTCATACCACTCATCCTTGGACTTCCCCCGGAGCAGACCAATAATTGTCATGGTCATATTATCACAACCCACTCCTCCAGTCTCAGAGTTTGAGGCGAGACAATTATCCATCATATTCTCACAGATCTTGGAAAGTTCTTGTTTTGCTGCAATACCACGTCGAACAAACTCAACCACTGCTTGTGAAGATTGGCAATCCCAGATTCCTGCCAAAATGTTAGTTGTTATTCATTGCCCATCCAATTGCTGTTACGTACCATCGCAAGCAACAACTAAAAATTCATCATCATCGGTGATATCGTGAACAGTTACATCGGGGAAGGCCGTAACAATCTGCTGCTCTGGAGAAAGCTCGGGACTCTTCTTGAATTCGAAATCACCGATAGCTCTTGAGAGTGCGAGATTGCCATTGACACGGCCAAAGTCGACAAATCCACCGGCAGCAGTAATACGAGCTTTTTCACCTATACGAATGTTGGCTTTCATGTTCTGAACATAGCGTATCAAAAATCATAAACTCACCTTCGTTTTGCGGCTTGTGATCAAAGGAAAGCGGCTTGGCCCGGCCCTTTACTCCCAAAACGCTTCGAGAATCTCCCGCATTGCCCTGAAATTGTTAGCCATAGTTTTGGGACAAAAAAGACATATAAACATACCACATAGATCTTCTTTGCAGAGAGAATTGCGACGGACGCAGTGCAACCAGAAACTTCTTCCTCATACCGTGGATCTAAAAAGAGGTCAAGTCAGTCCCCATCTAGCGTACCCACAAACGACATGCTAACCATTAAGAATCGCCCGATCCGTAGCCAGGAAACCATCTTTCAAGGCCTGCTCAATGTCACCCTTCTTGAATGCTTCCTGCTTCGCAACAATCTGGTGTATTTGCTCGCCGGCGAATATGGCTACTCTGTCACCTCCGTGTCCATCGTAAACCCCGAAGAAAGAAAGCCTATCCTCGGCACTGGCCGGCTTCAAAGCCTCCCCAGAAATGGATTGTAGATCGAGAATAGCAGCATGCGCATCCTCCATACTGATACGCCATCCTTGCATGGACGACACACCGAAGATTAATCGCTCGTCACCACCGGAGGCCGAGTTCTAAAAGAGAGTAGATGTCAGCATCAGGAACCTCGGCAGAGTGAGAGAGGGACGCGAGTAAACAGCAGAGAGCAGAGCCGTTTCAAATCTTCCAACATATATATCGATTGTATATCGCAAGGGCCGAGTAGTCGTGGTTGAGATGCCACTATTCCCATCAAAGGCATCCAGCCAAAACGCGGGGTTGGTGGCAGCGAAAGATATAGCGCATGAAAGAAAAGTAGACCATACCTTCTCCACGACTGGCTCCGACAAGGTCTGACCCATTTCGGCGACTTGTGAATGTCAATGAATCTTTGGGATCTCTATGTATCGGTTCTCTGGCCTTGTAGATTCTCAGAGTCAAGCGCGAGAAACGGGGTGAAGTGCGGGGTTCGGAGATCGCGTGAAGAAGGAGGTTCAGTTGGCAGATGAAGGCTATCTCTCCATATGTATCTGAATGTGACTGGCGTGGTAACTTCTTGGGTGTTGATGTTGGCAGGTAGAGAGGGTCGTGTGTTGAGGAGGGAGAGCCAGAGATGAGCCTTGCGGAAAGCTGGTTCAATTGTACGCCACGCTACTTTTAAAACTCGGCTAATTACTGGGTCGCTGCTGCCCTAGTTCGCTCCAAGAAGCTGTGAATAGATGCACTTGTTGGAGCGCTTTCACCCTGCCACTTTGGTGTTTTTTGGTGCCTGAAAGCTAGAAGACTCATGCGTTTTCTGTGAATCACGGCAATGAAGGAGAATTGGGAAGAATTTTCAAATTCATGACGATGGCGTTGGCGTTGGTGGCACTTCCGTTGCACTCGCACTTGGACCAGGCGCACTCTTTCAGAGGATGCACGTGCCATTTGATGCCTCCCGTCAACCTGGGCTTCAGATCCCTTAAGACCAGCCCGAGGGAACCTCAGACACCCAAGCTCAAGCTTCCCCACCTTTTAGTGCGAGTGGAACATTGTCTGTCCATGTCTTTTGTTTCCTCTACGCCTGATTTCCTCCAGCTCAAAGGAATCCGATGCTTCCGTATCTGTCTTTTCTGGGATTCAATCTTCACCTAATCACACCAGCACTTGTGCAAGTTTCGGATTAGGATTTTGACTGACTTCGTATCTTCTTTCGCATCAGCACCAGCATCCGACTCCTTCTGCACGCCAAGACACGTTCTAGGCTCTGAACTGCGTCATTTCTTTATCCTTGCAAACACTTCGCTTCGTTATTGATCTGGGGAAATACCTAGCCAGTGCAGTCCTGCGTCAGAAATCGCGCAATTGTGGATGGCATTTGGTGACAATACTGCTGGTGCGAATAAATATTGATACCTTCGCTAAAACCTCGCTACGAAAAGAACGAGGTTTCTACCAAAGTACCTAAAGTCAATTGTTCATTGATGGGAAGAAAATCAAACTTGATGCAGCTGTTACAACGGTGGTTCACGCAATCCAAGAACTGGAGAAGTCGGGGTTTCCAATGACGGCAGTGGCAGAATCCCTAGAAATACCAAGACCAAGGTACCTAGATAATTACTTAACAGGACCTACTAAACAGTTTGTCACTTGTTTTGTGTATGGCAAACTACTGACTCTTGCCATAACAGTTAAGCATTGTGGCTTGTTATACTTTAGGACTACTCTCATTTTATTTTCCGAAATGGCCGTTGAGGAGTTGTCAAATGGTGTTTTCATAAGTTGTTCAAGATGTCCCCAGCGAAAAGGGATGCAGTCAAGCAGGTTGAAGGATTAAAATGATCTGTTGGAGATACAATTTGGAAAGTTGAATTAAGAAAGATTATAATAAGGTAAATTTGGGGGTGTAGATCGTTACAGTTTTTAGACTTTCGTAAAAGTATATGAGCATATCTATATGCTTATATTTGCATACTGATTGTGGTGCTGGTGCTGGTGCTAGTGCTGCTTTTCCATCGCATTCACCCAACTTCGCCAAGCTCAACGGCGCCAAGGGCGGAGACCCGCACGTTACCTGGAGAAGATCAATAGCTCCTCCAGCTACAGCTCCAGCTATTTTGACAGCTCACCTTCCTTACCCCACCATACGATCGCCGGCATCATGAAGCTTGCCCCTTGAAGTTGACAACACCCACTAGTCTGCGAATTCGTCAATGTCACGGCTTCAACCTCGCTCGAAGGCCATCTCGACCTCGAATTTGTCTTCACAATCTGCCTCAGCGAACCCAACCACGAGCAATGTTGCGCTCGCGCCTACGCCGGACCAACCTCTTTTTTCGGCACCAGAGAAGATAGCTTCTGGGACCAGCACTCGGAATTTAGCCTCAGATCCAGCTTCCGACCGCTCAACCATCTTCCTAATTCGCCGTACATTATGTTCCCATTTAGGAGACAAGGGGCGAAGTACTCCAGCGCCAATCGACGAAATCCTGCCTCCTCTGACAAGCAGCAATGAAGTTGATCTACAGCTATACGCTTTCATTGCTATTATAATAAGAGAATTTGTGCATACATGGTATGCCAAAATAACTCCGGATCCGGTTTTTGTGGAGGAAGTTGTGAAGATCATCGCACATTGCACAAGGGCTTTGGAACAGAGATTGAGGAAGGTGGATATGGAAAGTCTGTTGTTAGATGAATTGCCAGAACTTCTTGATGTTCATCTTCAGGGTATGGATTATATAGTTCCTGTCATACTCTTTTACTGATGAAATATCACAGCATATCGAGCTGCAAACACTTCGATAAACCCACCACCCATTCAGACCAATTCCAGAGAAATATACCATGCCTTATGGCCAATGCCCGCACTCTCACCTGTTCCTGACCAGGAGAATGGACCATTGTCTCAACAACAAAGGAACAATGAAACTTTATATCGACAGATGCTTGTTCAAGGCGTTCTAGCCGTTCTCCTGCCAACAGAAGATTTAGACAATGATTGTTTGACGACACTAGTTGGCCAAATATTCTCCGAGATGATATTGGGAAATGGCGTAGGCGGAAAAGCTTCTGAACCGTGGCTTTTATGGGAAGGAATTATGAAGATTGCTGAAGTTATCAAGGCCCAAATCTCTACTCCCAAAGTCAGCGAGCCAGTGTTAAAATCGCCTGACTCTGTAAACGCCTCAGAATCTTCGAAGAGAGGGAATATTCTCGGGTTTCCCATTCAAAAGACCTTTTGGATGGTGCTACAATACGCATTTGTTGGATTCACAGCACTCCGGGTTCTCATAACTACACTTGCTACCGCGTCTGCGCTTCCCTCTCGGCTTGCAACGAATAAGCCAAATGGTTCCCCCAACGATTCCTCAGAATCACAACCAACATTCAGTAGTGGCATTGTTCCGAACAAGAGACCTATCATGAAGATGAAAATTTGGTCAACTGCATCACATCTATTGGACCTAGACTTTCGAATGCCCTGGCTTTCAGCCATGATCTCCATGCTTCAATGGAGTTCTATTGCTGGCCCGGGGGGTCTGGGGAATACTGATCAGATATTTGACAAGTAAGTTGTCTTCTTTGGTTTTGTCATTCCTCAAGTCACGAGTCTCCTCTGGATCATCTTATCCGTCAACCCGCATACAATTTCGGTCACTTGATCGCAAAGTTTCCAATCATTCAAAGTGGTCTTCCGTCCCTGTAAGCCACACCCGCACGGAAGAACCCATGGTCCTTGGTTCTTTCCGTTTCTCCACGAGCCATCCTCGATGAAGAAAAGGCTGCATCAAGTAACCTGGCACTCTTATACGATTGATCCATTTCCTCTTCGCCGATGCAGATGACCGCATTAATTAATATTTCACAATCCTTTCCAATGTTTCGATTCGTCCCCTGTTGACTGCACCACCACAAATCAAATTGTGGGGGGAGGCGGGCAGCGCCCTACGACGGCCCCCTTTTAAGCGCCCGGCTCTATTGGGAACAAGGGGCTCGCCATATCCAGTTGCCTATGCCTCGCATGATATCAGCACGAAAACACATTCGGTGATTCCTATCCAGTCGTTGTCGTTCTCGCCTCATGCCACCAACTGTCTGCATCTCACCCAAACCTCTCCCCCCTGTTTTTCTCGCTACCATCGCCGGAATGACTTGCTGTTTTGAGGATCCTCGAGTGTGGTTATCCCATCCTATCACAAGTTTCCAAGAGTCGAAACAATTCTTACCGTATTCATGCTACCGTTACCTTTACACAGCACTCCAAACCCCCAAGGGCAGAGCAAGCCAAGCCACTTCCCATCATCATGCATCTCATACCGGTCTCCTCCAAACGACCCTCACCCAGCGAAGGAACCAGCTAACTCATCCCCTCCCACAGAATCCTCTCCCACCAAATCCACACCCACATCCTCGACAGCACCCGCCTCCCCACCCTCCTCCTCACCCTCCGCACCGCCCTCTTCCCCAACAACACCCTCGCTCCCCCCCGGACCATCCCCTCGCCCGCCGAAGCCCTCCTCCTACGCAGAAAATGCGCACTCGCCCTCCTCGCCCTCGTCCCTCTTAAAGTCCAAACGCTCTACTTGGGCACCTCGGACGAGGAGCAGAAGATCGCGGATGTCGAGGAGGTCTTGGATGTCTTTTCAGATTCGTATTGTAATAAGCATCTCCTGTACTCGGTCGTGGAGCTGGTTGTTGTGCGGTTGATGCCCGAGATGGGGGAGAAGGGGGTGGAGGAGTTATTGGAGGAGAGGTTGAGTTAGTTGAGTTTGTTGAGTTGCGTGTTAAGAGCTGGGTTTGTGGGTTGTATGAGGAGATAGTTATACGGATGACTTGAGGTTGTTGCTTAGTTACTTACTTAGCTAGTTAGTTTTTATTTGTTGCTTGCCTTTTAGTAAATATACCCCCCCTTTTTTTACTTTGTTTCCTTAGCGATTACCTGTAAGTCTCACCCATGATGGATATCCTCAAGATCTGAAGACATCATGAACATGTTGTCAAGTAAGATTACCTACTGTCTGTGCTGTACACTCCCTCCCCCCCTCACCTTCCTCTTCTTCTCTCCATCCATCCATCAATTTCCTAAACAGGAGCTACGCAATACGCAATGCGCGATACGTACGTACGTGACATAAACCCTATCCTGTATATGATATATCCATGGAAAGGAAAAGGAGGTGGTCTTACATATATACATATATACATACTATACTCACTTTATATTTCTCTCTCTCTCATTCTCTCTGTCTTTATGTATTTCTCATAATGTGTATCTATATATTTCCATATCTGTCTGTATCTTTTCATCTCATATTCTTCATTTCCTTGTATTTGTTTCTAGAAGAGAAAGAAAGAAAAATATTCCGGCTATCCCAAGAGCTACAGTAGCTAGATCCAGGAAAGCTAGGCTAAGCGGAGTCCCGGCCCAAATCAGCCCATAGCAACACGTATGATACCCGAACCAAGCTGCTCCACCTATGTTTGTCCATCCCCCTTTCCTTCACTAGACCACATGAATGAACGGATGGATAGGATAGGCTTCAAAAGACCCTTGTGTGTGTATGTGTATGTGGGTAACTGACCGATCGATCCGAGGATCCTAATCCCCACCCCATTCCCTCCAGCCCGCTATCCATCACCCAAAGCCAGCCAAGCCAGGCCCATCATGTCGAGACATAGAAGACATAGAAGACATACCAGACATAGAACGTAGAACCATGGGAGGAAAACAAAGAAATAAGTTAGTTTTCCTTCCGAAAACCACAAAAGAAAAACAGAGAGGTCGAAATACAGGAGCAGAAAAAGATAACGAACAACACATAAAGCCAAAGAGGTATCCATCGAGAAAAAGTACAAAACCAAAAAACGTAAAAAAAGAGCTAGATGGCAAAAGAAGTCGACTCGTGTCCGGATCTGGAGGTCTATCCGTTGATATATAGACCCATAAAAGAAAGAAGAAAACCCCATGAATGGAATATATAAAAAAGGGGGAAGGGGTTCCCAAACGACGAATAAAATAAAAGAAGAAAGAAGGAAAAAAGGTGAACCAGAAACCGAAAGAAATCATCATGAAGAGAAAAAAAGGTGGAGACAATATTCGCGTGAGCGGCATGAATGTTGTATCGGGGGTATAAGGAGGTAATTTCTTGTTTTGTTTTGGTTGGCTTTCTTCTTCCAAAAGTTGATCTGGTGTTTTCAAGGCACACAGACGAAAAAAAGGAGAATAATGGGAGGATACAGTAGATAGATGATCAGAGGATATAGCTAGATGAGGGTGGTTTTTTACGAATATGATGGTATATATTGGGGAAACGATAATCAGACGCTCGAGCGTCGTTTTCTTCGCTGTACAAGAATTGAATATAGAAGGATCAAGGTAAGAACGCCGTGATGAATGTACCGAAATTGGATGCTGCTGCTGATAAAGAACACATGGTCGAAGAAATGAATCGGGGTCGAGATATACAAGGGTTGCTTTGGGTGGGGGCCTCGATGACAGAGCGCTTAACAACCTGCGCTCATGGACTGCTCGATTTTGGGCGCCAGAGTTGGCTCCGTCTCTTGCTCACTAATCCGATGGAGTCCTCCTGGAAGTGGAGTATTGCTCTGAATGCGTAGCTTCTCCGTTAGCTTCAAGACCGTCATGTACTCGTTTTGATCGACCAATCCGTTCGGGGCTTGGTTGAAGAAGTTCAACAACGTATCCAGAGCTCTTCGGGCGTCGTCCTGCGTGGGAGAATTGGGTGCGGAGGAACCATGAGGGGACTGCATGCCGGTGATCGGAGTACTTGAAGACGGTGGAGCCATTGAACCATCACTGCTGCGATGGTGTAATGGCGGTGAAGATACAGCGGAATCCATACCATACGGAGGACCGATTTCCCTAATCGGTGAGTCTAATGCTGAAGAAGGTTCTGTGACAGGCATATATTTGGGCGTCAGCGGTTCTGTGGCTTGCGCAACGAATGAGGGATCAATCCCAAGCATAGGAAATGTTTGACTTCGGGGTCGTTGAAATCCACTCCCAGGTGGAGGTAGCCGAGCTTGCTGCGATGGCATCCAAGAGCTGGAATTGTTTTCGGGAGAGAATGAAAACGGAGTGGTCGGACTGGTACCTCCCGCTGAGAATGGAGTTTGTGAATCTGTGAAAGCACTTGATAAGGAAGCAGTACTTTCAGAATTTGAGTGCCGGTAGCTACCATGTCCCTGTCCAAATTCCAAGTAGTCATTGATGCTTTCAGACTTCAAATCGTCGTGACTCTTAGCTGCGGATAGAGGGGAAGGCGAAGGTAAACCAATGGGCGATGTTGGTGATATACCGCTAGGTGTTTGAGATGCCGACGCTGCTGCTGATTCTGGATTAAGTGATCCTGTGTCAGAGATGTTGGTTTCTGATGCCCTCCGCGACAGCCGCCCTGAACCAATTCCATTCTTTTGTTTGAATTTTTCGAGCCAGCTAGCGCTATTGGTTTTAAGGTTACTCTCATCATTTCCGACTGTGGTGGCAAAAAACCGCGCCTGTTCTTTGATTGAAGCATCTGTCAAGGGAATCCCCTTTTTCATGTTGTTCCTGACCCAGTTTGAAAGCGCGCGCTCAATATCTGGAAATTTCCCTTTCGCTCGCTTCACTGGAGATAGACTCCTATCTTCAGGAAAGAGATACTTTTCTTTCTGACGAAGAACTTTCGAAACAGTACTGTAAACATGATATTAGCAATAGAAGATCAAACGCTTCTCGCTTGAATCACCTTCGTTCCACTCCAAACATTGCTGTAAAGTGATTTAGTAAAGGATCTCGCTAAAGTTTGAGAGAATTTCGGCCTTACCTCCAATTTCCGTTTGTTTTACCGTAGGGTTCTCTTCATGATATTGGCACATCCGCCTTCGATCATTGTCGGTCAAAGTTTTCCTGGGGGTTGGAGTAAGAGCACCTGGCAGCTTGTTGCCATTCGCTTTCACGACGGGAGGAGCAGATGCTGGGGGTAGTGCGACTGGAGGAGCTGAATAGCTTGCTGGATTTGTCAACATACTGGGCCAAGTTGGGTGAGTAGGCATGATGAGAGGCTGCAACTGGTGATGCGACTGGAGAGAATGGGTGGGTTGATGTGGTGCTATTCTTTGTGTATTGAATGTTGACTCGGATGGAATTCCATGGTGTGGTTGAATTGGCTGCATAAATGAAAACCCTCCATGCTCGTATATTGGCGATTGATGTTGTGACGAGTTATAGCTGTGACTGATGTCCACCCATCCTTCATTATTGCCAAAGCCGTTTTCATTTCCAGCGTTGTTGTGGTGTTCGTCCATGGCGATTTGCGCCATCATAGAATCGTGCATTTTTGGATGAAGAACGCTCGGCTCCCAATTTCCCATGCGACGCCGATTACACGATTGAATTAATGGCTCCTTCGAGCACCGAACCAGGCTGGATTTGGAGAGCAATGGTTATCCTCTCCTGGCTAAGAAAGTACGCAGTCCTTACGAATGTCGGTCCTCTGCATGCATGGTAGAAAGATAAGCCGTGGTTCCTGCAGATGCGTTCAAACCTGGATTGGAGGGCTGCAGGCGCGTTGGAATCGGCCGCAGGAGCAAAGCCCAGGACTTTGGGGTCGAGTTTCGAGTTTCGAACTTGGAATCCACGGAACAATGGATCTCGCTGAGGAGACCAGGCCAACACACAGAAATGACCGACCGAGGGAGTGGAAAGGTCTTCGATGGGGGTCTGGGAAGAGGAATCAGGATGGGGATGGGGATGAGCGCGTCGCCGATGGTCGTCTGCGGGAGGGGGGTTTAGCAATGGGTGTGTGGCCTGAGCTGGTGGGTGCTGGGTGCAGGTGGATGGGATGGGATGGATGGTACGGTGGTGGAGGTGGAGGGTGAAAAAGCGTGCGGTGCAGGAGCAGCAGGCAGGGAGACAGCTACATATGATATGCGGAGTAGGTGTGGGTGTAGGTGTGGGTATGGGTGTGAGTGTGGGTGTGGGTGTGGGTGTGGGTGTGCCCTTTTTCGATCTTGTGAAGCTCCTGCCACAGGGCCTGGGACTGGCCGCTTGTTTCGCTGCTGAGAGATGGGACGGCGCGGTTGACCAGGGGGCGAACGAGGGTCTCCACGGAGGGGAGGCCCAAGAAGGTTAGAGGGGTCGAAAGGGGGGAGGCTCGGGGGGTTTGGGTTCAAATTAGAGGGCAGAAGGTTCGGAGAACGTCAGAGAGCCAACCTGGTGATGGGGAGACGAGTCTCCCTCAGCAGCCTGGACGGGGAGGAGAGAGAGAGGTAGAAGAGGAGGAAGAGGAAGAAGAGGAAGACCTTTTAGTGACCGTCGACAGAGACTCAGACTCAGACTCAGACTCAGAGACATCAGATCCGCATCAGGCCAAGCAACGCTGGACTCGACTCGACAACGATGTCGGGGCTCAACGGGTAGACATGCGGGCCACCACCGATGACAGCGGTCGAGGGCAGGAAAATGGAAAGCAGCTTTCAACCCGTCCGTACTCATACGAGCTGCGCAAGGACAAGGGGGGCGAATGGGAGCTTTGGCCTGAGAGGAGAGGAGAGAGTAGGTAGAGTGCTACGAGTACTGCTACCTAGGTACTGCGACTTCAGAGAGGAGTCGAGTAGTATATAAAAGTCAGTTAAAAGTTAGAACATACAGAGTATTCTCGCTATAGATCTGTCGGATATATACGATGTACGAGTATGCTCTACATACTCGTATATACCTAGCTATGTAAATTACTCGAGAGGCACGAAGTACCTACCTAGGTACTCATACTAGGTAGGGAGAGTTGCACTGTCCGCAACTGAACGAACAATGCTGCATGGCAGAGCAGGGCAGGGCAGGGCAATGCATGGCATCAACCAGTTCGTACGGAGTACGGGCAGCCTGAAGTGGTACGCGAGCCAGGCCATAAAAAAATCGTTTCTTGTTTCTACCAAAGTCCTTCTACAAGTACTTCGTATGCCTGGGACGAAGTACTTGTACAGCCAACTTCTCAGAGACCTCCAGAGCATCTGTGTCCGGAGCCTGAGCCTGAGCCTAAGCCTGAACACAGCTGTCAGCAGCATGATCGCAAACCTTACCAGTGCGTGTGCTCCGTACTTCTACGAAGTACCTTAGCTTAGGTACGCTCAGGGCAGTCAGTGACCGGTCAGTCCAGTCCGATATGGGTGTAGACGTGGGTGTAGACGTGGGTGTAGATGTGGGCTCGGTCATCAGCAGATCTCGCCCTCGCTCAGTTTGACAAGCAACAAGCAACAACAAGCTGCACCGAGCTGCCCCTGGGCAAGGCCAGCCCAGGCATGTCATGGTTCGTACAGTGGTCAGGTCCCCCAATAACGGGCGGCCAAATAGCGGGAGCATTCCCCGAAACAATCAAGCTTGTCTTGTCATCCTAACCATCGCCGCCGCCCTATCCCAAGCCCAAGCCTTCAAGACTTCAGTGCACCACCACTGCCGACAGCTTTGGCCGCCTCGCGATTGCCCAGGCCCTGCAAATCCTTAAACGTACGCGAACAATCATCCATCATGGATTCATGAGGTTGGAATAATGACATCGCCATGACATGCCGTGGTCTGCTTGCTTGCCTGCCTGCCGGTTGGCTTTGCTTTGCCTTGCTGCGCTAGCCTTGCCTTTTGGACTTAAAATAATGATGAAACAGCTTCGCCCATCGCTTAAGCTGTGTGTGGTATTGACGCTGGACGTTGACAGCTCCCAGAGAGGACTCTCTACGGCGAGGAACCTAGTCAATACTTCTTCCTCCCAATTGCCGTCAATGCAATGGCAATGTTTTGGTACCGGCCAGGTCAAGTGAGGTCGCCGCCCAAAACCCGAGGATTGTCCTCCATACAAAGTTCTCGCCTCGTTTTCTCTGCCGGCGGCTCCTGCTTCTGCACGATATTCGTCGACTCCGGGAGAATGGTGGCTGGGCCAATAGCAGAATTCTCGTCAATGATCGAGTAGGAGGAGGAAGAAGAAAAATCCCCAGGTGCCTTGTTCCTTGGTATGGCGTCGTGGGCGTCGCACATCCAACTCTTGATTCGTGAGGCTTGGTCCAACCCAACATCGGCCGGTGTTGTCTTCCCAGACTTTCACTCAGTCCTGAAGGCCTATGGGATCACTCCCGGCTTTGAAGGTTGGCTGATTTTATGCCGGGGCGAGGATAGCCATAGACAATTGGATAGAAGAACATCCTCTTTGTTGATGACAATGAAGAACTGCCCTTGGTTTTCGTCTCATGTCCCGGAAGGGTTTTCTCTTTTCTCCTGTAGGTAGTGATGGTGGTGGTTCGCTCTGGAGAGCCGTATCCGATCCCCATCCAATAAGGCATGACAGTAGCTGCAAACACTAGTCAAGAACACTCTAATATATAGTGATTAACGAAAGATCTCCAGCTATTACTGATAGTGAGACGAAGCCGACGTTTCAAGAAACAATAGACAGTACTCGAGTAGTGAGACCAAACAGCAAAAAGAACCCCGCCATGAAAAAGACAAAAAGCGCCATTTCCGCCATCTCGACTACGAGATGCTGCACTTGCAAGTAAGCGGCGAGGCATCGAAATACGAGCTCGGAAGCGTTTAATGGCGTGTTTCTTCTGGCAGGAACCGCGCTTCATCGTGTGACGGTGGCCCAGATGGGAGGCCTTGATATGCTGGGAATCGTCTCAAAACACCAGCGAGATTCTCAATGAGGCGAACGATCAACGATCGCTTCGGGACTTTTTTGAAAAACAGTGTTTTCGAGTCCATGCATCGCAGATCGATCGCCAGGTATCATGGATTAGACGAGGCCGTCTGGCGGGCCATCCGTGGATTCAGACCCACTTGCTTGCTCCAGTGGAGTTCTCTGCCCTCGCCTTTCGATCTTTCCAAATTTCCCTCTGCTTGCAGATGCCGGACTCCGAAGATGTCATTCGACGGCATTGAGCTCGGCGGCAAGAGCTCACTTTTCAAAGGGCAACGTGAAAACCTTCGGTCGAATTAGGGATTTGGAGAGGAATTTCGGATCGATTGGCTCAGAATTTCCCGCATTTTTCGTCAACCCGGCCCGTGAATAGGCAAAATGGGGACTCCCTGTCAGAATGCATCCTCGCTGCTTTTGCTGTGTAAGTGAGTAAGCGCGGCAAGCTCAATGCAGCCCTCCTCAAGTCCCTGGACTCCTGTCCTCTTCCTGGTGCTTTTCTCCTTATCCAATCTCTGCTGTCCGTGCGCAATCTTCCGACTCATCAAATCTCCTTCAGGCTTTCATCGAGTGGAGAAATAATTCTTTTGTTCCCGGCGTCTCCACCAGAATGCAGCTGTTTATTTCCTGGGGTAGAAACCTTGAAAGATGCTGTACGTATGAAAGGTAAACCGCTGGAGAGAACAACCTACGTATCAGGATCTAGAGGGAAAGCTCGTGTAAATCTATACTTTATATAAGAAAAGCGTGGTACCAATGACCCGAAGAATCTTTCTATGGGCAACCGTGTGTGGGCTGCTCTCGTAATTCAAAGTATGTGCCGTGATCCGTGATGGAAAAAGTCGGCAGCTTGCGTATATTGTATCTTCAAGACTTTTTGTCGGAATTGCCAAGTACAGATTGTCTTTTTATCAAAGGAAAATGATACTGATAAACCAAACTATCCAGTCCCTTTTGAGAACGATGGAAATAGCTGAATTGAAAAGTGCTGGAATCAATAGATCCAGGCTCGCTGAAAATCACAATCTGCTGGCGTAGTGACGGAAGAATAGAAGAGAATATCGGGGGGTTCGTAGGTTCAAACGCGATACTCGACAGGTATAATAGCCAAATATAATCGGCGATAGTCATTTATTTCTGATCGAGTGTATAACCATTTTCCCCCACTTTCCCTCAGCTGGAAATCGCAAAGCGCAAGCTCCCTACTGTAATTGTTAGGATTGGATCTTTGGTAACAAACCACTGCAACATTCACTCGTCCAAATTGGAGACACCCCTAGTGCTGCCACCACTTTTGGGCGATAACTGCTTCTTCCATGTAATCCACTGGACCCGTTTTAGATGGCCTGGGTAGGTGTTGGCACAAGCGTAGCTGCTTTTATTTTACCAAAATTGATGTTCTTCTCCGTCGCCCCGAAGCCCAAACTATCTATCTTTTGACAATGGTAACTTATTGATATTAGAATCGAGTTCAAATATAGCGATTTCATCTTCCCAACTTACTGATGTCCTCGTCTGCAAGCTCGTGGCTAAGACCGACTCGCTGCGGTTGATGTTTCACAGATTTTCCATAAACGATGGCTTGCCTGAAATCATCCACAATTGTTTTGTGAATAGCATTACACTAAGGGCCATCTCCATCAGAATAGTAACAAGGCACAAGGTGTTCAGAGACAGGTGTCACTACTTACGAAATCCTCAACTGTGCATTTTGTGGACCGTAACACTACCGGCGATGTGTAATCGGGTAGTTTGCCCTTGGGCTTTGTGTAAACTCGCACAAGATTCAATCTCTCCCACCTAACAACATATTAGCCAATGCAAAAACCCACATCCACCACCGTAATAGTCACGACGCCCAGAGAACGAGGGGCCTTAACGTAAGGTGTGTTGCGTGACACATGGTCAAGACTCGCAATTGTGACAATTGCAATATTTTGAAATAACTTACATCTGTTCAAGCAATTCGTCAATGTTCCAGCCTTGCTCGGAAGAGATTGGGCATGCGTTCGGAATTCTGTACAGCAAGTCTAGTTCCTCTATCGAAATGGCGTCTATTTTGTTGAGTGCGTAGATGACTGGAATGTAGCTTCTGCTTTTCGCCTCCAGAACGTCAATGAGATCGTCAATTGTGGCATCGCAACGAATGGCAATGTCGGCTGAAGATATCTTGTACTCGCCCATCACAGCCTTGATTTCGTCATGGTCGATATGAGACAGAGGTACAGTATTGGTGATAGCGATACCGCCTTTGTCCTTCTTTTTGAAAACAATATTTGGGGGAGACTTGTTTATCCGAATCCCAAACCCTTCCAACTCTGCTTCGATAATTTTCTTATCTGTGAGTGGTTTGTTGACGTCGAGAACGATAAATATAAGATGGCAAGTTTTCGCAACGGCAATAACTTGTCGACCTCTTCCCTTTCCGTCCTTTGCTCCCTGGATGATACCTGGTAAATCCAGCATTTGAATTTTGGCCCCATTGACAAGCACTTGCCCAGGCACTGTTGTTAATGTCGTAAACTCGTATGCCGCGGCTTCAGAGTGTTGTCCAGTGAGCTTGCTCATCAGCGTACTCTTCCCCACTGAAGGAAATCCTATAAAGCCAACACTTGCCACACCAGTCCTAGCAACATCGAATCCCGATCCTCCCCCACCACCACTACTTGCAGGTGTCAAGAGTTCTCTTTTCAGCTTCGCAAGTTTCGCTTTGAGTTGACCAAGATGGAAGGATGTCGCTTTATTCTTTTGGGTTTTGGCCATCTGAGATATATTAGCATTCATCCATCTACTCTGTGTACTTCTTATAATTCGTCGTTTCCAAAATATGCGAGTCGATATATTGCAGGCTTCAGAAGGGGGGGCCGGTACCTCTTCCTCGATGGCCTTGATCTGTGGCGGGGCATTAGCAAACTTCCATTGAAACATGAAGGAGAAAAACACACCTTCTCCACGGTAGTAGACATGACTGCTGCTTTTGAGGACACCGCTCTGATTTGGTTATCGGGTGTGAGTTGACGTTGGGTTTGTAGGGTTGGTTGAGCCGCCGCAGAAGACTTGCTGAATCCTCGGAATGTGGGGTTATTGATACACTTTTTGGAATTCGGTGCAGCATCATTTTTGGTGACGCACTGGCCACTCTGAGCTAAACCCTTTCCGGCATCGGGATGATGTACAGCACCCAGGTACAGTATAAATTTATGGTCAGCTACAATTGTCACCATTCAACGCCTGAAAAGACGTAATGGATCTCTCTCACGTTTGCAAGGTCTTCTTCGCCCTGGGAACAGCAGTTGATATAGGTGGTGTGTTTTTCCCCTCTTTTAGGAAAAACATCATGAATTACGGATCTCGAAGACACGACCCAAGCAACCAAGTTGCTGCTGCCAGCAACCAAAAGGTAGACTTCAACTATTATCTCGAGTTTGTCGCTTCATTTCAAGTACCTCATTCGTGGTTCATTCATTACTACATATTCTCGGTTATGTCCTCTATCTTTTGGGCATTCCAGATCTACACTCAAGGTCCAGTTGTTCGATTTCTAGCATTTTCCGCGGCCCAGAAGCCCGGAACTGCCATGACAATTCAACAATTGTCTATCGCATGGCTCTTGATGGCAGTTCAAGGTACTCGAAGGCTCTATGAATCGATCATCTTCGCAAAACCAAGTCAGGCAAAAATGTGGTTTGGTTTGTGGATAGCGTAAGTGCCTCCCCCCACAATCAGAGTGCCAGATCAAAATGGAACCCATTTTTCAGACTAACATGGGGTATAGAGGACTTGGGTATTATTTCTTTATTAGTATTGCGGTCTGGATTGAAGGGATACGTAGGTCCTAGTCTCTTCATTATTCATCGGTAGCTAATCCATTCAGCAACATTGGAACAACCTAGGCCCTTTGAATCACTGAGGATCTCCTGGCCCTCAATCAGGACAACAATTGCAATCCCTCTCTTTGCTTACGGTTCTATTGTGCAGCACATCTGCCACAAACATCTCGCCAGCCTGAAAAAGTACAGCCTTCCACAACATCCGTTCTTCAAATCGACGGTCACCCCACACTATGCATGTGAATGTCTCATATATCTTGCAATTGCCATTGCCGCCGCACCTGATGGAAAGTTCTTGAATGGAACGGTGCTCGCAGGTCTCGCATTTGTGGTATCGAATCTGGCCGTCACCGCTGAATCCACCAGAAAATGGTATGCTGAGAAGTTTGGTTCCAAAAAGCTTGCTGGTCGCTGGAGAATGATACCACATATCTACTAATATGGAGGTTTAACGTGCCTTAAACATGGAAAACTTAGCCCCAAGCTTAGATACTTTGATTACATCTCGGTAAGTGAGGCTTGTCCTTGTCGAGCGCTGAAAATTCCCCTGTTTGTATATCTCTGGTGACCGAAGAAGGTCCCAATTTGCGATTGTGATATGATCAAGGTCCACGTCTTCATGAACCTCAGCGATTCCGTGAAGGTAATCCGTGTAGAGTTCTCCTGTGGTGATAAGCAAGCTTCGCGGCTCTTGGAGAATACGAAATTTTGGTGTTGTTTCTCTGGTTCCGTCATCTTTGGTTTCATATATTTCAAGAGTCAAACTAGAACCCAAACTGACGGTACAGACCACAGGATGATACGCAGCTCCATCCTTATGAGGCATGATTCCTTCTCCTGGTTGATCTAGCAATCTTCAGTAGCAGATTCATGAAAAGCTCAAAATGAAGAATGCGAAGAATTAAACAAAAAACAAATGCTCAAAGGAGTAAGGGAGAGAAATGATAGACTTTCTCAAATCAGAATGCACCTACATTCGTTGATAAGAACATGGTTTGGTCCACCATGGGGGCTATCAGAAAATATGTGCTGCTTCATATTTGACATATTCATGGGGCATTCGAGGAGACGGGAAGCAACAGGATCACGAAGCCAACCCGGAAGAGGGCTATCAAGCAGGCTGTTGTTTTTCGTGAGGTCAGAAGGCCAAGTTTGCAGGCGTCTGTGTGAGAGGACTTTCCATTTTGGCTTCGGGGCAGTCTGTATCTTCAGAGCATTAGTTCTATTGATCTGACGGGGTAGTATTGCAAGATAATACCTTGCTCAACAGCACTTCCTCTTCCTCCTTAGATATAAAGTCGGAAATGTAAAAGGCGGCTGTAGGAAGAACCTTGATTCTTGCGTCTTCAAGACAAACCGGTAGATTAATTGAAGGCGACATGATGATCGTGACGAAGGGGGTTATATGTTGTGTTCTTGGGAAGGGTCAAGGTGTCTTTTGTCTAGTTTGTGGTCCAGCTTTTGGATCAGCCTTTGGTTGGAGATGTTCCACTCTCTTGAGGTATGCCCCCTCAGTTATTCACTCTTCAGGAAGTTCCCGGTAGCCTTGGGCAAGTCGTGGGCGATTGAAGTAGGCGGTTTCAGATGGCCTCTATCCCATTGATGGAACTGCAACCTCTTCCCAGATGACTGGTCAATACAATGATTTCGCCTCCACTGCCGACTGAAGTGGGTTGGGTTGGTTTGCCGCCACTGGCTCGATCACAACAGCTGCGTGGGGAAAATGGAATCCCAGGACAGGGAGGGCGCACAAAATTCAAGTCGAAATCATTCACTGATTTCCTCCTCCAAAAAGACCCCGGCCATCCGTCAAACCTCGCGAGGTGGTGAAGTTGCTGCTGCTCGTGCTCGTGCTCGTGCTCGTACTCGTCGAAATCATTCGAAGGTGGCAGTGGAGTGGTGGAGGTGTTGTTATGGCGAACCGTAGTTCCCACACAAGCCCCCAATTGTTGTCAGAACACCACAGACCTCCAGCTCCCGCTCAACCTCTACATACTCATCCTCGTACACCAAACACCACCTAAGAACCCACTAACGAACGACCTCGATAGCCTCACCACCAACATTGCCCACCATCACTCCCACGCATCTAAACTTATATGTTCCATTGAGGCCATCCGAAACGTATCCTGCGACGACTGACAAAGCGACGACCCCCCGCGCACCGCGCATCGTAGTCACTTCGCCCCAGGCTTCGTAGGACACGGATGACCCTCCTTGTCCGTCCCTCTCGACATTTCCAAAGTGTCTCCCAGCAAGCACAATTCGGAAGATGTGGTGGACAAGGCGACACTCGGGGTAGGATTGATGGACGATTCCAAAAGCGTGCGAGCTGTCCCAGCAAAAGATCCCGCCTCGCCTGATCGCGACGAAACGGGTGTCAACGAGGCCAAGAACAGAGAAGGAAACACATCTAATGGTTTTAATTCATCGCCGCCTGGTATCGCCCGCCTCGATCCTATGGACGTGGATGAGGAACCATCGAACGGAACGCATGCCAGTGTAAATGATGGCACGAAAAGCGACTCTGAAGCCGAAACGATCGTGCTTCCCGGGAAAGATGGCTACTCGCCATCCAAGATACGGAAACGCATCAAGCATGAGGACCATAGCGATGGAGACGAAACCAAGAGTGAGGGAGGTAACCGTAGTCATGCTGCGCGTGGTAAGGCTGCCCTAGACCTGTTGACTCAATCACGATCTGTGTTGGGAGATAAATCAGCCGAGCCCAATGCAGCAGCAACTTCGATATCGTCACTGGGCAAAAGGAAACGACCCAAGAACTCGAGTATAAAAGACGATCCTGCGCATCAAGGTAATTCTAGTGGCTTAAGTTCAGCACCAACCTCACCAGCAGCAACGGGACGCGCTTCATTATCAAAACCTGCAGCTTCTGATTCAGAAGTATCCAAATCACCCTCTCCTCGTTCAGGGCCTGGAGCGCGACACCAGGCCAAATCCGTCGACCGTGTCATCTCCCGCGGTAAGAACCATGCGTCGTATTCTGGCGATGAAGAGGCTGGTGGACGACTCGAAGTGAGGCAACGTGAAAAGTCGAGGTTGAGTACAGATACAAACTCGCGAAAACGTACAAGGTCGGATTCGCCGCCTCGGGGGGCAGGACATCGTCGAAGTGTCTCGAGCCAGGTCTCCTCCAAAAACACCCATAGCTTAAGTAGCAAGAAGAAGCGTATTCCAGCTCCTCTACAGTCCACCGAGTATCATTCCGACGAATCCTCCGAAAGTGCAACTCCCCATCCTCGAAGCTCACGCCCATTGCGAAACATCCCGGCACCTCCCACGGGCGACTCTACGATATCTCCTGTCAAATTAGGACCGCATAAGAAACATGTTAACTCGTCTGGCCAAACCCTTCTAGCACGTGCATGTCTTAGTGGTAAAGTGGATGGTGCGATACAGAGATATACAGAAAGACCACAGGATTTGAATGAACCGGACCATGCCCTAAATACACCACTACATGTTGCTAGTATCAATGGCTATACCGATGTTGTCAAGTTTTTATTAGAGCAGAATTGCACCGTCGATGTTACAAATGATCAGAAGGATACACCACTTCATGATGCAATTGAGAATGGACATGTCGAGGTTGTTAGATTGCTTCTTGACGCGGGAGCTAATCCCAACAAGCCCAACCGTCATGGCGATGAGCCCCTCGATCTTGTAACTGAGATGGAAAAAGGAGATGATTACGACGAAGAGGAAGCCAATCAAATAAGACTGGCCATAACAGAAGCCAAAAAGACCAATCGAGATGCCCGGAGATTATCAGAAGACGAACCCTCAATGGAAAATTCAGAAAATCGCAATTTTCATGAGAAGGATGGTCCCCGTAACAGCCCGTCGGTTCCAGCACAGGAACCACACGCCAGTCGGAGAGGAAACGCTAGGTCGATCAAAACTAGTGACGCTCTACTTTACCAGCGCCTTGATGTGAACGAACTTCGAAAAGCTGCTAAGGAAGGTGACGTAAACGCTGCGGCGCGTGTATTGGAAGTCCATCCCCACCTGAACGATACTAAGTCTCTGCTTCTCGCGACAAAAGGTGGTCATCTTGATGTCGTCAACATTCTTTTGGGTTTGGGTCCTAATTTTGATCCGGATCCCGACCCCGATGAGGAGCAAGCTACCCCATTTCTTACAGCCATTGGGCGAGAATCACATCTCAGCATTATTGAATTATTTCTTAGCCAGGACAAGTTTAACCCTACCCGAACTTTTGGAGGCCAGACTTATTTTGAGATTGCGAAGGCTCGCGCGGGGCCAAGGTGGCAGGAAGAGGAAAAGCTTTTGAAAGATGCTTTCGAAAGATATGAAAAATCACACAAGTCATCAACGGGCAAATTACGTTCTCCTAAGCTCCAGCGGGAGGCGGATAAAGAAGCCAAACGCTTGCCCCGAAAAGATGATCATAATCGACCACACAAACGGACCATTTCGAGCCCCAGAGCGAAAGATCATGAAACGAGCAAGAGTAGCCACCACCGAAGTGCTTCCAGTGTCACAAGTAGGGATGGATCTGTCCAGGCAAAGCGAGGTCCTGGGCGACCAAGGAAAGAGGAAAGCACGCCGTCAATTGTAGTGTCAGACCCGGAAAGTACTCCACTTGGTCCCCCAAAGCTAAAACCTCAAAAACGATCGGAATCTGAAGTTGGTCTAGCCTCAGAAACGGAGACGGCTACTACAAACAAACCTCGGCGCAAACTTATCACTGGACACGAACGGGAGCGTGAACGAGAAGAAAAACGGAGTCGCTCAAGCCAGGGCAGCTCATCGACATCCAGTGTTTCCATGAAAGAGAAACGAGCAACCGGGGAATCTCATGGAGACAGAGCTGAGGGGCGAGTGAGCCCCAGCCTTCAACGACCTGGAAAGAAGGCGACTTCCAATCACCACGAGCCAGAGCCATCGGACAAAATCTCATTGGATAAAGAGAGGTCCCGACCAACCAAAAGAGATGACTCGAAGGATAGACTTAGTAGCATTCGCGGCGAAAGTCCCATGAAAAGGCCCAGGAAGAGTGAAACACCACCTCGATCCAGTCTACAAGAAGTCGCAGCAGGATATGGCACAGGAGGAGGGCCATTGAAGAAAAGGAAGCTTGAAGGCGACGCGGCTACTGATACGAAATCGGAAAATCCAACAATGTCATCGTCAAATATTCGTTCTTCCTCCGTAAAAAATGCGCCTCCACATGACGCCAAGGAAAGATCAGGCTTAGATGCTAAGTCTAAAGCTTCACATTCTGCCAAGAAGCAAGTCGTAGCTGGAGAAGAAGGCAAACAATCAACCCCAATCGATACAGAGGCGCATAACCGTCCTGGAAAATCGAACAACCATGGCGCCGACACTGGTGACTCGCATCCCAAGAAGCACAAGCCAACCAGCACAAGTCAGGTAGAAGCCGCTGAAAAGGAGCGAGAGAAAGAGAATGCACGAGCGTTGAAAAGGAAAGAAGAGGAAGCAACGCGTGAAGCAGAAGCACAGCGAGAAAAGTCAGCAGTACGTGAGGCGGAGGCTAAGCGAGAGGAAGAATTGAGGCAAGAAGAAGCCCGAAGGGCTGAGGCAAAACGTAAGGAGGAGGAGGAGGAAGCTGCTCGACTGAAGCTAGCTGCTGAAGAATTGGAGCGAGAACGCAACGAGAAAGCAGAAAAGGCTCGTTTAGCTCATGAGGAAGCCGCTCGCCAGGAAGAGCTGAGACGCCAAAACGAGGAAGCAGAAAAGAAGAGAATCCAGGAACTAAAAGAAGCCGAGGAGCAGCAGCTTCGAACCCTCTATCAAGAGCAAGAAAGAAAAAAGCGTGAAGACTCAGACCGTATAAAGGCGGCTGCTCAAGAACGTGAGCGAATCGAACGGGCCAAGATGGAGGAGCAGAAACGGCTCGAAAGGCTCTCGAAGCTCCCTTGCTTACTCCAATGGTTCGACTGTGTGGAGAACGCGCAACAATTTTCACATATGTTCAGATGGATCGACGGTTACCGTTATGACTCTATTCGACCGGAAGCCATCGGCCAGGAAAACGGACGGGAACAGTGGATGCTCAACACTCATGTTGCGCTACTCTTGGGAGAGAAAGATCTCAGTTTGACAAGATGTAAGTCTTCTCCTACGCCATCCAAACCACCCACCACACACTTACAGACTAATAGACACTGCTTGGGAACGAATCCCGCTTTGGCGTGACGCCAAGAGAGCATTGTGGAAAGTTTGCGGCCCTTTATATACACTTCAGGGCGACTCTTGCGGACTCCTCAAGAAGCAAATGACACCACCTAAGGATCCGCTGCATAATTTTAGCGAACACAACGGACCGCTCTTTTTTGATATGGATTTATTCTTTGTGAAGGTATATAATGTTACCCCTTTTTGCGATAAATACATCTAACATGAAGCCTAGGTTTCCGAGTTCATGTTCATTGTACCGAGTTTCCCTCACCTTCGCAATCTAGAAATGCTCGTGAGCTACAGAGAGCTGGATACCACATTCAAACACCCTCCACCGACTCCCAGATTTATGGAAGATCCCGATTATGATCAGAATGATTCGAAGCAGAAGTTCATCCCTCAGCCGAAAATATACAAAAACGGTCTGTTTTTCAAGCAGCGGGATGTGCTCATGGCTAAACTTTCATACCAACCTCCTTCTGATGATAAACGAGTTCCTCGGCGAGAGCTGGTTCCCGTAGCTCCGCACGAGCCAGATTATGAGAAGTTATGCAGAAAGCAAGGAATAATCCCAAAAGCGTCACACCAAAATGGGATCACGCCCCCGGGTTCCGATCGAACCAAATCTGTCAATGGCGGAAGCCCTCTTTCTGGTTCCGCGCTGGACCACCAACATAACGGAGTTATTGATCATAGCGCCTCTCCCATTGCCGAAAAGGCTTCTGGTTCAACTGAACTCCCTAGCATGCTCTCCTGAGCACAAATTTTCTATTTTCATGTATCCACTTTGAAGGCGTCGTCCTTACATATCAACCAGTATATTTTTCACCCGGCTGCCCACCGCTAGATTTGTGTGATGAATTACGATCTGACGGGCCCCTGGATGTTCTGATATCTTTGGATATCTTTTCCAATAGAATTTCAGAGGGAGGAGGAGGGCAGGCAGGGAGACATGGAAGGTGAACGGTGTAGTTTTTTGAAGAGGGTTGATTGTACAGAATAACGTTTGTCACCAAGTCTTCTGTCTTGGGACGGGCGCAATTGTATTGTAATTAGTCAGTCAACGCACGCAAAGACAGGAAATTGGTCCTTGGTGCGCGGATTATTGAGATTAAAGCACACGTCATCTTGGCTGTTGCATTTTTGCTTCATGCTAAAAGATGTACAAGCAGGTTAAATATAGCAAAATATTGGTCACGGACTAGACTCTGCCTCTTGGTGCTGCTCTTTTGTTGGGATGCCGTTGCTGTCTACGCGAGTGGCATATATTGAGTAGGAAACCATCTCATGAACTAGGCAATGTAACGCGGTTTCCATAAAGACACTGACAGTGACTGACTGCTGTTGGATTTCTCTTGTGTTTTTCTGATCAAGTTAGGTTTCTTTTGGGATTTACTCGCAGGGTTGATAATTTTTGGGTCATAGCAAATCATGTGTTTATACTTCGCCTGTAGATTCTATGTATGACGATATCGGGTTTGATAGTATTCAAGTGGCACCATGCTGGCCCTGATTTTGAGACTATATTCATGAGGGAAATAGTCTAAATAGATACATCTTTTAAGTTAGTAGGTTCTTAGATTGATAATTGATACAAGCTCAAGTGAATAAAACGGTTGTTGAACTAGTTATCTTGCTACTGTAGTAGGAAGTTGGGACTTTTGGATACTGGAAGTGGGAAACTCCACTCGAAAGTAGTTATCTTATAGGAGTGCGACATCACTCCTTCAGACTTGCCGAAAGTTTTTTCGGAGCGAGTCCATCGTTTCTTTGGTTTTGTTGGGACCAATTTATTGATGAGTATTTTTTGGCCAACAAGCCAACGACAATCTAAAAATGTTGAAGAGATTCTGGGGTATTCTAACTAGTCTATCGTCTTAATCTATTCCTTTCTATATCATAATCTTGGACTCCCAGGTTTGTTCCCCTCTATGATGACACCAAGTCCAGACCCCGCATCGAGTTCAGTAGCCTGCCCTGAAGCTGCGATGAATGACTCGTCTCCAGAAAACCGCCTGCTCGAAGTTAGTAAAAGAATTATGAAGGAGTACGCAAAGAGAAGATAACACACCATCCTCTCTCTTCTCCTCCACTGAGGAAACTACAATCCCCACTCTTCCCAAGTTTCCATCCCCCACCAACACCATTCCCCTCCCTCCAATCAACGACCGGAATCTCCGACCCGGGGCCTTCCCATTTCCCAAGTTTACTCTCTTCAGACTTTCCACTCGAAGCTCTAGTAAAAGTAGTGAGTCCACAAGTAAAAGGTCTGAAATCCTCCTCTTCAATATCCTCCGGCATGTGTCCTGTCAGTGCTCGTCCAACAGCAATCAATGTAGCAGCATGTGTACAAATCACAATGGCCTTTACCCCCTCCTTATCACTCTGTTCAATGATTCGATGTAGTGCATACGCCGTTCTATCATGCAATTCCTTGATTGTCTCGCCGTTGACGCTGGGCTTTATTACGGGTGTGTATTCCAAGTCGTATCGTGGGAATATACTCTTTAAAAGTTGTGGTTCGGCCGGGGATGGATGGTCGAATCGCGCCATGCCGTACCTGTATTTTATGTCAATATTCCCTCCCATCGGGAGAAAATTTGAATGTATTTATGCATACCATTCGCCAATGCCATTCTCGCCGCGGATTTTCTTCGTCTCAGGGTCGCTGGTGGTACTTGCAATGGCTTCCACGGCGGGAAGGATAGTTTGGATACATCGGTAGAATGGGGAGGAATAGAATCGCTCGATAGGTGGTGAGAGAGTCTTCAGATGCGCAGCGAGTTCGTGGGATTGCTCCACGCCTTTTCCTGCTAATGCTGGGTCTGATGCGATTCCGGTGGGGGAGGGGATCGAGGCGCTGTATTCTCCTGTCTTGGCGTCTACCACCCAGTTGCTACGGAACTGCAGTAGAGGGTATGTCAGCCTGGTTAACAGGTAGTTGACGGGCTGAGAGGACTACTTACACCGTGCCGGGTGACATAAATTGTCTGGAGTGACATTTTGCTTGTGTATATATCTTTGTGGTTACCTTTTTTCGTGGCTCATCTTGGAAAGAAGTTGAGAAGCCTCGGCTCCGATTGTTTTGCAGGGATTGGCCTCTGTATGACGGCATGTCGGTGGAAGTGTAAATATCAATCAATTGTGTCTTTCGCTCAACAAGTACAGTATGAACCCCGAGTAATTTATGTCAAAAAGCATTGTAAGTGTCTTGGGCACTGTTTTCCAAGAGCGAATGCAGTATATATGGCTTCCGTAATCTGACGATACCGAATTTGGAAATACTCGTTTATCCTACAGGGTATGATACAAGTTCTCTATTCTGTATTGTACAAGTTGCTACTCAGCATGTGGATTCTATTTCACAACTGTAAACCCCGTAAAAAGGTGATACTGCGTCTATTCTTCGCCGGCATCCTTCCTCGTAGTCTCATATCTGCATATTATTAGTGTCATAAAGTGTGTAGGAAGATGAAGAATTTACCTCTTGCCCCTAAACGCCCACACCCCATAGTTTCCACAGCTAATGTCTTGGGGGTCCAAATCATTGATGTCCCATCTCAGACTTCTGAAACGATTTTCACCTGGCTCTAGCAACATATCCATCTCTCCGCCGACAGTTTCCTTGACCCAGTTGACATCTCGTTCCATATCAAATTGAGTGTATCCGGTAACGATAATAGGAACTTTGGTCTCCAACAACTGGGGGATTGTTTCTTTCCACTCATGAGAACTAGCAGCATGACCAAGTCCGGGATGAAACAGCATAAAGCAATCGAAATATGGGTCATATGGGTAGAAGTGGCCAGCTTTGTGTAGTGTATGATAATACTCAACAAAAGTGCTGATTTTCAGCTGACTTGTTAGACGGCCTTCGACAATGGCTCCAAATGGGTTTTCCGGAGTCCGCTTGGGGAGTGGAAATTCGGCGTCTCTGTTTGTCATACTCTCGGGTCCAATAAATATAAGATGAAAGGCAACTCGAGGAAATAGATGTGTCAACTGTACCCATACCTCTCTTGGAAGGGAAGATTCTGCTCGCGCTCCAAGGATGAAAATACGAACTGGGGGTGGGGCTGGTCTAATTCCCTTGACATCCATTCCACCACCTGACCGAGGTGGATGAAGGGTATAGCGTAAAGCTGGGAATACTTTTAGCATCGACGGACATCGAATCAAGCGGACTGGCTACATACCACTGAAACTCTTCAGTCCCTCGACTGTCAGGCGACCGCCTTTCCTAATGTCATATGGACTCAACTCGTGCAAAACACTACCTACTGTGACTGGGTAGGTCAATAATCTCGTAGCCTGTCGCATACTTCTTTCGTCATTGATGGCGTTAAATTCTCTAGAGAACAAAAACGTATCCCAATTCGTCATGTTCACCATAGCTTCCTCAATCTGATCTGGTGGATACTCGAATTCTGGGAAGAAACGTCCGGATCGCAAATCGTGATCATCTTCATTCGTCTGTCTCAAAGTATCACATATCTCTAGATGTGACTCGTAGTCGTCCGCCCAATGCTCCTCCGAACAAGAAACTGGTATGCCACAATCCGGACACTCGAAATTGACATGCGCTGGAGCTAATCCTTGTGTGGGAGATTTCCTCGACTCGGGATCATCTGGGTTTGTTGGGATTCGAGTCTGGCGATGATCGGGATGTGGGCAGAAAGCATTCTGCCTCATGAATGCAGCTCTTCTTCTGATATCTGGAGAAGGCGATTCGGAGAACTTGTGGAAAAGGTTGTTGGGTTTCAATAACGCTCTTTGCGCCTCATTTGGCTGTGACTGTGCAGCTGAAGATGTTGCTCTCCTTCCCAAAACCCTCTCCGACGATCTAGCTGCCACTGGAGCAAAGCTTCGTAGGCTTGAGCCATGGTGGATTGTGGAAGAGAAAGTTCGTCTGCTCAGCGAGCTTTGCGTGGGATGTGATGAGTGTTTTAGCGCACGAAGGCACTTTTGGCAGGTGAAGCTTGGTGAGATTCGCATCTCTGCGGGCGACTGAATTGTTTCGTAGGATAGCTGATTACTGGAGTGCTCAGTATATTATCTTCATGGCGTGAGTATAGTACTATCAGTACTGTACTGTAGTAGGTCCAGTTAGGTCCAGCCTCAGCCAGCCAAAAATGATGGCCCGTGCTTATTTTAGATGAGCCACCTCGGATGGAGCTTCAATTTTTCTTCCACAGCTTCCCCTCCCCTGGACTCGACGCGTTTTGCGACAACACCTCAATGTGAGCTACCCCAAGCTGCGCTGCCAGCTCCCAACCTCCAACCATCAGAGAGAAGTGAGCGGAGAGTGGCGAGCGTACTCAATTTTGAACTTTTCATTTTTGATCGGTTGCTTGACAGGCTCTTCCTGCGACCGACATCATGGCGACTACTTCGTCCATGTTCATGTACTCCCTGACAGTCCAGCCTCCTACTGCTGTCACTCAGGCCATCTTAGGACAATTTGCTGGGACGAAAGAGCAACAGATTGTCACTGCTTCTGGCTCTCGTCTTACTCTACACCGACCAGATCCCTCACAGGGTAAAATCATCACCGCTCTTTCGCACGATGTCTTTGGGATTATCAGAGCCATCGCAGCCTTCAGACTAGCGGGCAGTAATAAGGGTATGTCCTTCAATATCCTCTCCTCTTGAAATCCACTTAGTGATGAGCATGGCTGGCAGCACCCGATACACCACCATGAATTGTTGGCGTCAACAAGAATTCGAGAGCCCTTGTGCTGCCTTGAAGAGTTTGGCTAAAGAAGATCCATGCAGATTACATTATCATCACCTCAGATTCGGGTCGCATCACAATTGTGGAATTCGTGCCCGCGCAGAATCGCTTCAACCGATTACATCTCGAGACTTTTGGAAAGTCAGGCGTTCGTAGAGTCATTCCAGGACAGTACCTAGCGGTCGACCCGAAAGGGCGCGCATGCTTGACAGCTTCTGTGGAGAAGAACAAGCTTGTATATGTGCTTAATCGCAACTCCCAAGCTGAGCTTACTATTTCGTCTCCATTGGAAGCACATAAACCTCAGACTTTGGTTTTTGCATTAGTCGCGTTGGATGTGGGCTATCAAAATCCCGTCTTTGCGGCTCTCGAAATAGACTACGGAGATTCAGATCAAGATCCCACTGGTCAAGCATACGAGGAGATAGAGAAAACGCTGGTGTATTATGAATTGGATCTTGGTCTGAACCACGTTGTGCGCAAATGGGCAGATCCGGTAGACCGAACAGCTTCCGTACTCTTTCAAGTGCCCGGTGGTACTGATGGACCGAGCGGAGTTCTTGTGTGTGGAGAAGATAATATCACATATCGGCATTCGAATCAGGAAGCCTTCCGAGTTGCCATTCCACGGCGCCGCGGAGCGACGGAAAATGCTGAACGCAAGCGATCGATAGTTGCTGGTGTAATGCACAAGCTTAAAGGTGCTGCGGGAGCTTTCTTCTTTCTTCTCCAGACTGAGGACGGTGATCTATTCAAAATCACGATAGAGATGGTCGAGGACGACGAAGGTCAGCCAACAGCAGAAGTCAAACGCCTGAAGATCAAATATTTCGACACAGTGCCGGTAGCTTCAAGCCTGTGTATTCTGAAGAGTGGATTCTTGTTTGTTGCAAGTGAGTTCGGGAACCATCAATTTTATCAGTTCGAGAAACTTGGAGACGACGACGAGGAGATAGAGTTCGTTAGCGATGACTTTCCCACCGACCCAACTGCTCCTTATACGCCCGTTTACTTCCATCCTCGGCCAGCAGAGAACTTGAGTTTAGTCGAGAGTATTGATTCCATGAATCCATTGATGGATTGTAAGGTAGCAAATCTGACAGAAGAAGATGCTCCACAAATCTACTCGATTTGTGGCACTGGTGCTCGAGGCACATTCCGAACATTGAAGCATGGTTTAGAAGTCAGCGAAATTGTCGAGTCCGAATTGCCTGGAATTCCATCCGCAGTGTGGACGACGAAGCTGACACGAGGAGATACTTTCGATGCATACATTATTTTGTCATTTTCAAATGGGACGCTTGTTTTAAGCATTGGTGAAACTGTAGAAGAAGTTACTGATACAGGTTTTCTGTCGTCCGCGTCAACATTGGCCGTTCAGCAGCTTGGAGAGGATGGTTTGATCCAGGTTCATCCTAAAGGCATTAGGCATATCCGTGCAGATCGCCGTGTCAATGAGTGGGCTGCTCCCCAACATCGCTCCATTGTAGCCGCAACTACAAATGAGCGACAAGTCGCTGTTGCTTTGAGCTCTGGTGAAATCGTGTACTTCGAAATGGACTCGGACGGATCTCTTGCCGAATATGACGAAAAGAAAGAAATGAGCGGGACGGTAACCTGCCTCAGTCTTGGAGAGGTACCGGAGGGTCGTGTCCGGAGTCAGTTTCTCGCTGTTGGATGTGATGATTCCACTGTTCGCATTTTGAGTCTTGATCCAGACTCTACCCTCGAAAATAAATCGGTGCAAGCTTTGACCTCGGCACCGTCAGCACTCTCAATTATGGCCATGGCAGACTCTTCTTCGGGAGGTTCTACCCTTTATCTTCACATTGGTCTTTACTCTGGTGTATACCTTCGAACCGTCCTAGATGAAGTCACTGGCGAGCTTTCTGATACACGAACACGCTTTCTAGGTCCAAAGCCAGCAAAACTTTTCCGAGTCTCGGTACAAGGCCAAACTGCAGTTCTTGCATTGAGTTCTCGACCTTGGCTTGGATACTCGGATCCAGTAACCAAAGGCTTTATGCTCACTCCTCTCAATTACCCTGGTCTAGAATGGGGATGGAATTTCAGCAGTGAACAATGTACCGAGGGCATGGTTGGAATTCAAGGTCAAAACCTAAGGTACGTCAATATGCACAGTCAATCTCCCAAAACCAAGATGCTGTGATGATTTTCTTATCGTTAAACTTTCTTACGTCCAATGTGGCGAATGAGGAATAAAATATTATTCCAATTGTTCCTTCTGAGCATGTCTTATAAGATTCCATGCAATACACCCATAGTTATGAGAAGCAGAGGCTAACTATATCACAAGAATTTTCTCAATTGAGAAACTTACAGATAATCTCCTTCAAGAGTCAATACCTCTCACATACACTCCTCGTCGATTTGTTCGACATCCTGAGCATCCATACTTTTACACCATTGAATCTGACAACAATGTTCTCTCTCCTGCCGTCAGAACGAAGCTACTTACAGATACTGGCGTTGTCAATGGTGATGCTAAAGTCCTTCCGCCAGAGGAGTTTGGTTATCCACGTGGAAACGGTTATTGGGCATCTTGTATTTCTATCGTTGATCCCGTCACCGAGAAAAAAGTTCTACAAAAGATTGAGCTAGAAGATAATGAGGCGGCTGTCAGTGTTGCAACCGTATCATTTGCTAGTCAAGAAGATGAAGTTTTCCTTGTGGTGGGAACAGGCCAAAACATGGTGGTCAACCCAAGATCATCTGCAGCTGGGTTAATTCATGTGTATCGATTCCACGAAGATGGTAAAGAAATTGAGTTTATCCACAAGACCAAGGTGGAAGAACCTCCTATGGCTCTTTTGGGATTCCAAGGAAGGCTCCTCGCTGGTGTTGGCAAAGACCTTCGAATTTACGATCTTGGTATGCGACAATTGCTTCGGAAGGCGCAAACGGAAGTTGTCCCTAATCTAATTGTTGGTCTCCAAACCCAGGGTAGTCGCATTGTTGTTAGCGATGTCCAGGAGAGCGTTGTCATGGTTGTCTACAAGTTCCAGGAGAACAGACTTATTCCTTTCGTCGATGATACAATAGCACGTTGGACATCATGCACGACTATGGTCGATTACGAGACCGTTGCCGGCGGTGACAAGTTTGGAAACCTTTGGCTCCTCCGTTGTCCCGCCAAAGCAAGCGAAGAAGCCGATGAAGAGGGATCCGGTGCCCATCTTCTGCATGAGCGTCAATACCTCCAAGGTGCACCTCACCGGTTGGCCCTGATGGCACATTTCTTCCCTCAGGATATTCCAATGAGTATTCAGAAGACGAATCTCGTCGCCGGTGGTAAAGACTGCTTACTGTGGGCTGGACTTCAAGGAACACTTGGGATTTTGATTCCATTTGTTGGGCGTGAAGATGTTGATTTCTTTCAGACTTTGGAGCAGCATATGAGATCTGAAGATGCGCCTTTGGCAGGAAGAGATCACCTGATTTATAGAAGCTATTACGTTCCTGTGAAGGGAGTGATTGATGGCGATTTGTGCGAGCGATATACCCTTTTGCCTACGGATAAGAAGCAGATGATTGCTGGGGAGCTGGACCGTTCTGTCCGAGAAATTGAGAGGAAGATATCTGTAAGTTTGGATCCAGGTACCTATATCATTTACAATCACTAATTGAGAACAGGATATCCGGACACGTTCAGCATACTGATGATATTGAGGGAGAATTGAACCTCATCTATTGTATTATAAAGACGGTACAGCAGTCGTACCGGTGATGAGATCACGACGAATGAATGACCTGAGATCTATACATCTCACAGGATGTAGTAATATGGAATATTTTTCTCAAAAAAAAAAAAAAANAACAATCATGACCTCTGACCTGTGAATCTTCTCCTTCCCAGATCATACTTCGTCTTCACTTTTGCCGTTATACTGCCTTGTATCGGGTGTTCCTTTTCCCATTTATCGTCGTCTTTATATGCTAGAACCGCGGCGTCTAGATCGTAGTCCGCTTGCTGCAAGTACAGTAACGCAACATCATACCTATCACCATCAGCCTTCCCTTTCTTCTCTTCCCAACATCCCACTCCACTCCCCAAACCACCCCTTCTCACATGCAATAGAGGGTAGGACTCAAACTCACTCCGAAACCTTACAAGCCACCATCCACCTCCTCACACTCGCCTTCCTCCGCTCCTCCTCCTCCCCCTCCACCGGCCGCGGACTCAGCGATACACCCCCTTTATAGAACTCCCCCGGTATCAAGATCGTCCGTCGTGCGGAGAGGAGGTGGTCGGATGTTAGGTTATTGGTTCTTCGCAACGCGGCGAGGGGGACTTTGTAGGAAAGCGAGAGGGAGAGGAGGGTGTCGTGGGGGTGGTGAAGGAAGTGGAGGGTGTCTTCTGTTTGGGGTGTTGGGGATTTTTCTTGTGTGGGTTGGTGGGAGGAGGGGGTGTAGGGTGATGGGGAGGTGGATGGAGACGGTGATGTGTATGATGGGGGGTCGCGGAGACTTTNTGTTTGGGGTGTTGGGGATTTTTCTTGTGTGGGTTGGTGGGAGGAGGGGGTGTAGGGTGATGGGGAGGTGGATGGAGACGGTGATGTGTATGATGGGGGGTCGCGGAGACTTTGGGGGAGGGAGGTGGGTGTTGTGGAGATTTGACAGAAGGGACCTTGGGGGGGTTATTAGTCTTCCATTTTATTTTCCTTTTCCCCTCGTCAATCAGATCTTTGTATACTTACAATAACTCCCAAATCTAGCATTTCCCTTTAAACAAAGTAAAGTAGTTAGTTAACTCTATTACCTTTCCTCTTTCTTGCCACTGGGATAGGAGAGGTACATACTTGTATACACCTCCCACATATCACCCTCCCGCAACAACCCAGACTCCTCTCCTTGGTCTCGGTCTGGGTTTTGTTCTGGGGTTTCTCGCTTTTCTCGTCGTAGGATGGAGGGAAGGTGTGCAGGTATTGGGCGCAGGTTGCGCAGGAGGTCGTGGTGTCTACCATTGGGTTTCCGGGGAAGAGTTATAGAAAAACAGCCTGGAGAGAGAATGGGGCTGGGGTTTCTTGGGTGGTCTGTGGAGCTAGTTGTGGGAAGTAGTCTAGTTGGTGGTTTATAGATTGTTTGTCTGTATTGGGGATATGTGGTTGATGGGAGATGTTTTGCTTCTACGGGGTACTTGTCTTGTATGATGCAATTGACCTACTCTGACCCGGCCCGCCCGCGGGGTCCTTACTGTATCGCCAAATAACGTGATATCGTGTTGTAACAAAGATCTATATCTCCTAGAAGTATTGTACCTAGGTACCCAGGAAATGTCAATAAATCAGGGCCTTCAAATTGTTTACGGGTATTAAATTAGGTTTAAGAACTTGGAATGTTCTAATCTTCTCCCGCGAATTTACATACAGCTAAGGTTGCAGCCTTTGACTTAGCTATCATTTAAAGAGAACGTGAATGGGAATGGGAATGTTCATCATCATCTATTTCATGCACAATGTCTATGCAACCGTTTACAGTCTATACGCCAAAGCTCCATGCTCTATGCAATGATCTAGTATCCAGCAGGCTCGTTTTCAGGAAATGCTACCGGCGCATCCAAGTTATTCAAGCAAGCTTGTTTCCAATGTACAGGAGTAAATTTATCGACAATTGTTTTGAATGCGGTTCTATGGCTGTTAGTATCTAGATATGGGCGGGGGTTTAGTTTATGGCAAGACTTACAAAGTACAGAAAGACTCATCGCCATCCAAGTGCTTTCCGACCGGTTTACATCCGGGAATCTTCATGACCTGGTCGTTGTATCTTACCCTCACGAAATAGCCATCCAACTTTGATTTTTCGGACTGATCGAGGTCTTCCATCTTCTTCCTAGCGATTCCGAGATTTGGGTTGGTGGGAGCTGAAGAGCCAAATATCTTAGCAAACCATCCTGGCTCGGTGCTGACAGGTTTGGATGCAGTTGGGATTGTGGGTGGAGTCGCATCTTCTTTCTGCTTCTTGAACAGTTCCAGCGCAACGTGACTTGTATATGGTGGCCAAGCGTCTCCCTGAAGTGCTCCAAGACTTGCAAGGACAGCAGCCAAAGTTGTGTCGTGGCAGCCACTGAGAGCAAGCTTAATTGCTTTCTCCCCTCCTCTGCCATTGCCCAAGGAACCGTCTTTACCTCCAATCGCCAGGTGGCCATCATTACTGTTACCTTCCACGCTATTAGCCATGCGAGAGACAATGTCTCCCATCAGACCACCAATTCCAAGCTGGCGGTACTCTTTGGACTCTTGGTAACCACTGAACCATTCCTCCACACCAATCTTCTCAAGGATGGCTCTTCCTTTCTCGTCGTAGAATTCCTTTGGTAGCCTGGTTTCTGGTCCGTGTGCAAGTGTACTGTTCATCGTATCCATAATACCGGAAATTCTGGGATGAGAGTCTACGGCAATTCTTTTACTATCTTCAGGCATCCATTTGCCAATCATCTTATTCAGATACTCCATCTCGTCCGACTTGTTCCATCGATCCGAGGTTCTCTGAGCAAATGCTCGGCTCAGTTGTGCAAATCTTCGGCAATTGTAATCATTCGGGAACAATGTCTCGTCTTCATGCGATCTTGTAACAATAGTGACAGGAGGGAGGTTAGGTGACCGATGTTTGGCTGGGTACATTCCCCAGAAGGCTTGCTGCAAAGATTCGAGAGCTCTCGGGATAGGAGTTGATCGGAGATAAATCATATCTGCATCTTGTATGGTGGAGGGCATGTAACCCAATTGATCAACGTACAGATGGCGCAAACGTTTTCCAAGTGCATATGTCGTTTCTCGTCCCTTGTCGGTCAATTCCCCAAGGAAGCAAATGTTGTCAACTTCTCCACGAGGTCCTGCAGAGATAACGGGGCCATCGTCTGATCCAAATGTCTCTAACCTTCTCCGCCATGTGAGTGGTGTCCATTCGATTCCGTCTTGGGTCGCGCTGATCATCTGCCTTGCAACTGCACAGTAGGGCCACTAGGTGCAACATTAGCATATCGGAATATTGCATGAAGGTAGCGCGCAGATAGAGTGGAAGGGGAGAGGCATACATGAGCATGCAGACCGGCATTCTGGAAACGGGCAGAAACTGGTGAGCGTTCTCCATGGCGTAACAGCACTTGAACAAGTTGAAGCTCTAGACTTTCCGGGTACAAAGCTTTGAGCTCCTCGGTGGAGTATGGAGGGCGAGGTTGAAGACTAGTCATGGCTAAAGAGATATTTGGGTATTCATGTGTGTAGAGATAGGTACAGTCAGAGAAGTGAGGTATTTATTTTGGTGTTTCTGCAATTCAGCGCAAAGGCTAGAGGTTTTGGAGGGGGTTGATGTTTTGGTAGCTCGTAACACATGTGGATGCCCCATAGGCGGATATTGGTGGGGTCAGAGCAGGGGTTCATGCAGGGCAGGGCCTCGGCGTAAGCGCATTGGCCTATCTGGGACACTACGAGTACACTTCCTCAGACTTCCACTGAAAGAGCCGCAGTCTCATGATGCAGACTTCTTGAAAGAACCTGTGGTCATTTTGAATACTTTTAACCCTTCTCTAGGATCATGAGAAACGTGACAAGAAATATTTGAACCATTTGCTTGAAATCATCAGGGAAGGTGGAAGTGGCTATTCCCTGTACTGTAAACAAAACATCCATCATTGCGAGAAGAACGAGTGCTATGACTTCCACCAATGTCTCAAAAAATTCATTTGTGTAGCTCAAAACACAAGTAAGACCAGAGAGAATTAGGCACAGATACTACAATGGTTGAGTTACTTGAGGGCTTATGACAAAAACACATGAAAAGGTAACGTGTTTTGTGTTCTGAACCCCTTTGACAATAGCCGAGTTATCCAGCAGCAGTCATTGCTTGTAAAGTCCATCTAATCGCCACCTGCTCCTTCGCACTAAGAATGAAATCAGTACCATTCCCAATCCACTTAACATTCTGGTAAATACTTACAACCCAATAAGGTAGTTTATCCGTCCATTCGAATGTCGCGCATCCAACCCCAGTGGGAAGCTGTATTTTGCACTACAAGGTCCGAGTCAGAAAAAGCAAATGAAACAGAATTTAGAGATACGTATTTGGGAAGAAGCCCTACCGACCATCCACCTGGGCGGTTGTATTTCCCATTGCTGTCCCACTTGAGTTCAGATAAAAGACATCCCGGGTTCCCAGTAAGATCTCCAACTTTTTGACCTGCTGCCAAGGTAGTGAATGCAGTGATAGCGTAGAGGAATTGCATTTTGTATATTTTGTGAGTGAGGTTTTGGTTGAAGATGCAAGTAAATGTGGGTAGAAATAAAGGAAACATCGGGCTTTATAAACAACTTGGATCAAATGAGGCACTGTCTACCGCTTTTCCCCGGTGTCTGATTTCATTTAGTTTTCTGTAAGACCAGTCTGTAAGAAAGAGTTCCTTGAATGGGCTGGTCGTTAATGCAAGGAACGTATATTAGAGTAATTCTAGTAGATATATGCAGGTTTACACCAATCCCCATTTCCACGACGTCTATACTTCTTTTCCTATCCCTATACTATAACAGCACTCTATTGTCATTCTTCATAGACGAAATATTACCCCTATATTAGCTAAAAAAAATGTAGTTGCTAGTGTCAATTTGAAAAATTACTTGAAATGTAGGGCATACATTAGTAAAGTTTTAGTATTATCTTAATTTAATTCTAACCTTTTACGTCCCATTATAATAGCACTCAAGTGCTCCTTTTATTAGAACTCCAGTAAGTGCGTTCGTATTCTTCTGGCTCAAATACACTATATAGCTAGTATTAACGAGGGCTTGTTTTTTGAATTAAGAGTTTATTATTAATGCTCTTATACGAGGCTAACACGAAACCGTTACGAGTACTATACGAAACGGGCTGTGCAAAGGCCATACGGGGGCTACTTGTTACATCTATTCTACTTAATAACTTTTGACTACTACTATAAACACCTAGACGAGGTGTTATATATACTAACAAGACTATTCATTCAAACCAAACAGAATTTTTATACTACTACTAGTATTGGGTTGAAAGGGTATTGGGTACTGAAGGTCATGGAGAATTGATTGCATTGTAAAAGGTAGCTATCTAAGGTGTTTATATAAAGAGTGTAAGGTTTAGGCAGACATGAAGCATTTAGGCAGCAGAGCTATAAGTGGATCAAATAAGGAAGTGGAGCAAAAGAGAAAGTAGACCCAGCACAACAACTAGTTATCGAATATTAACTAATAAGTATAATCTTCAGTGATCTTAACTTTTTAGCTCGCTTGTTTTACGCTCCCCCTTTTCATAACATTGAACGAAGTCTCAATATAAATTCTAGCATGTGTAATCTTATTCTTTTGACCTAATTACTCTATTTCCCTAATAAGAGCGTAGTTTAAATTACTAATATCAAAACTTTACAAACTAAGATTAAATTCTTATAAGGATATAGTACAACCTCACTACGAATGACCGGATATAATTCCTTGTTTCTCAAAGTCCTGATTTTCTTGGGTAAAAATTAACCGAAAAATTAGTAATAACGCCTTAGTACCTAATATAAAACCCTCACAATTACCGAAATGGAAGATTCTTCAAGCATTCAATCTATTCACATACCCTTCCCCTAATCACCTAGTTCCTGAGAAGCTCTTACAGAAAGAAGGGACATGGGGAGCATCTTAATACCTATTTATATATTTATTTATTACTATTTAACGTCAGGCGGATTCTAGCTCGCGTGAGCTAGGTCCTAGAAGAGTCCCAAAATAGGGCAAATGACGCTAGGGAGGTGCCCTAGGCTACAGGGGGTGTAAACGAATGAGCTAATTTATAAGAGACAATTTAAAGAGAAGTTCCACTTTCGGAACAGCCCTTATCCTTAATTAGTTTTAGAACCAGGGTAAGACAAAGGAGATATATAATTAAACGAGAAGGGAAAGAAAAGGAGGCGTGTCTAACTAGAGACAGATTTTGGTGTAGAATTCGGTCTTAAAGTAGACCAGGCTAAAAAGCTTCTCGCAGTGATGTCCAAAGAGCAGCTGGGGGTTCTTCTTGGCCTTAG